GCAGCAAACACCAACAACAACAGCAGCAGCAAACACCAACAACAACAGCAGCAGCAAACACCAACAACAACAGCAGCAGCAAACACCAACAACAACAGCAGCAGCAAACACCAACAACAACAGCAGCAGCAACACCAACACACAGCAGCAGCGCCACTCAGCGGCCGCCATGGACATCGACTACGCCGCCGACTACCTTCACTTCGACAACGTGTCGTCGCACATCGAGAACGACTCCCATCTGCTAGCCGACGACGATGCGCTCCTCCTGGCGGGCGCCACGCGCACCGGCCTCACCTATCTCTACACCGTCACCGTCATAGCGTCCGTCGTCGGCAACGGTGCCGTCATCACCGTCTTCACGTGCGGAAAGCGACAGCAGTCAGATCTGTCGGCGTTTCTCGTCAACCTTGCCGTAGCAGACCTCATCATGGCGACGTTCTGCATGCCGTTCACGTTCAGCGAGATCATGTACAACACGTGGATGTTCCCCGCTGTCCTCTGTCCGCTCGTCCTCTTCCTGCAAATCGTCAGCGTCAGCGCCAGCGTCTACACGCTGATGATGATCGGCGTCGATCGCGTCCTCGCCGTCAAGTTCCCGTTGCGTCGGCGCGTGACGAAGACGCGACGCAAGACGATGATAGCGTTGATCTGGACGCTCGCCGGCGCGCTGTCTCTCGTGCAGCTAGTCGTCGGTCGAGTGAAGACGTACTACGGACCGGACGGCGCCGTCATCGTGCGAGATTGCAACGAGATGTGGCCGGCGCCGTATCTCGTCTACCGGCGGCTGTTCACCGTCGTTGTTCTCATGCTGGGTTACGTCGTGCCGCTGTGCATTCTCGCTGTCGCTTACTGGCACATAGGTCGCGTGCTGTGGAGCTGTAATGCCGAACACGTGACGTCTGACTGCGACAAGCACTATCCGATCAAGGCTAAACGCTCGGTGAGTGATGGAGCAGGGGCGTGTACAGGGGGGGGGGAGGTCCAGGGGGTCCGGACC